AGACTTTCATCTGCAGACCTAACAGGCCTTCTCACACTGGTGAATTTTGGTAAAGGTCCTTATGTTAGCGTCCTGGCCATGAGTTCTCCTCGCATGACGACCCCTTGCTCCTAACTGTCCGCTGATATGTGCCAGCTCTTTCTGAGAGGAGTCTCGTAGGCTGCCCCAGGCTTCTGGAAATTAATCAGATCAATCATCAATCAATCACTTCCAGATCATGAGAACAACAGATGAAGGGAAGGAGGAAAACATTCTCTTGTTAGCTGCTGTCACAGGAGAGGAATGATGGTGATGGCGATGGCAGTGGTGTGTGTGTGTGTGTGTGTGTGTGTGTGTGTGTGTGTGTAAATGGGTTTTGTTTTTAGGGTCAAAGGGTGCATGAGTCAGGTTGAGAATTTTAACTTGATGAGCTGTGGGTAGGTCACATGATTGCCATCATGTGCTCCTATCAACACCTGTGAAAACAGTTAATTAGACAGTGAGATAAGACTGGAGATACGGGGACCCACTAGGAGACCTGTCCCCACTATCCATTGTCCTAATGTGGACTTAGTGATGGCCCTGACCTGATCCAGGAGGAACTTCTGTAAAACATTTAAGAGACAGGGTAAGAACATAAGTATGCGGTTATGAGAGAGGACCAGAGAGTTCAAGCTGAGGAGCGTTGGTGGGAGGGAACCAAAGCCCGTCATCCACAGGCCTGTCACTGAGGTTTCCTGGTCCCCACATTAGGTCCCATCTAGAACCAGTTTGATTTGTTGGTGTGGAAGCTACATCAGTCCTGGAGGAGGGCACAGATCCAGTCCTTACTGATGGTCAGGACGGCTAGTTCTGTTCAACTTTGGAAGACCGAGGCTGACAAAGAACCAAGTTAGTCCTGTAGGATGTGAAGCTGATCTGAAAGTTCTCGAAGGTTTTCTGAGAGCTGGTGAGACAGAGAAGTGAACTGATGCAAAGAGGTCTCTGGCTCTTCTGTTTCAGTCCTGAGTCCTGAGAAAATGCCAAGAGTGGCAAGAAGAGGGACGATGGATGCCCATTCGCCCCTCTCAGAGGTCTCCCTAGCTATTCCCTGGGGTTTGGGGCCAGAGACCTCTCTTAAGTGCCTCGAACTGACATAGCAAGGAACGTGTAAGGGACAGCAGGCAGAGCCCCTCAGAGGAGGGGTGAGCTAAGGGGCCACAACAAAACACAACAATGGCAAAGACGCAGAGCATGAGACAGCCATGCCAGGGCTGTGTGCACCCTTGGAGTGTGTTGTGTGAGTTTGCCTGGGTAACACACAAGTGAGGCTGTGGTGCAACCACAGCTCCTACTGGAACGCAGGTAAGAAATGTGCGTGAATATGTGGGAGTGTGCTCCTTTTGGAGCCAAAGAACAGGCAAGAAGACCACACGTGGCCCTGGGCAGGCGATGTCATAGATACTATCGAGGCTGATGACTTCTGATGCTGTTGTTGATGACGACTGGTAAGGCCCCTGTGTGCAGACTAGCTAGAGACATGTTTCTTTGGCCAGCATAAGCTCAGAATCTACTGTCAGGTTCTTCATGGGGAACATTAAGAGACAAAGTTGATGAGGAAAAAAAAATCTTAATATCATGATTACCATAAGCATTTAAAAAAATAAGGTGTAAAATAACTTCAGAGCTGGCTGGACCATGTACCAGAGCCTGCAGAAGAAGATAACTGTAATCGGCTGTTGGTGACATCGGACTCCTGGCAGGGGGATGAGCACCTGAAGCTTCGTATGAGAAGTCCCTTACCTTCAGCATCTCACTGACAACTGAAAAGAGAACTACAATCCTGCTGGGTCCTTTCTGTAGGATTGTCTGGCAAAGTTCTAAGAACACGGTACGGAAGTCCCAGATGATTTTTCCCAGTCCTGTGAGATTGTTGGCAGAGTATCTGGCAGCTGCCTGTAATTGGGGAACGTGGGGCCTAGGGTGCAGAAGGACGTGTTACCATGGAGAGAAGTGCTCTCCAAAAGGAAATAGTGTTCCCGAGTTTGTAACACAGCTTTGAGCTTTGCTAACAGGATTTACGAAGATAGACCTGTGTAGTGTTACTGAGCTCTGGCTGGACACTGCTATGCTGAGGGAAGACAGGTCTTTTCTTATATCTGACATATACATATAAACACATACAGATATATATATATATATAGATATATACATGAATATACATACATATACATGTATATACATATATGAATACATATTCATATATACATGTATATGTGTGTATGTGTGCATCTCTTCCTTATATATAATATCTGATATATATATATCAAGTAGAGAATCATTACTGAGAAATTGCTGTCTACTATGTCATACAATTAAATCTAATGTCTGAGGACTTCAGTCCCTTGAACTGTTAAAGAAACACACTGAACATTTTTATGTCAGTCATACTTTCCTGCTGGGTGGTTAAGATCACGTGGGTAGACCACATTCATTTCTGTTTTGTTCCTGACTGGGGGTCCATCTGGTGCCCAGGGGTCACTTGGGCTCCTTGAGCTTTTCCTTACCAGTTGTCGATCTACGTGAGGATAAGCCAAGCCTCACTTGGCCTGGCCACGGCTTCCCCTGGAAGCTCTGAGGAAACACTTCCTCTTTGTAGAGTGGATGCTGGTTAGAATCCATAGTGTGGTCTCCATGGCCTCCCTGAACAAAAGAACAGGTGACTTTGTTTTCACAGCTCAGAACATTCCTAGAGATGGCCCAAGGGCCCCAGAACCTCTTTGACCTTGGAGGGCAAGGAAGAAAATCTTCTTTTAGTCCCTCTGACAACATAAGAAAAGCATTGAAGTTTGGCAATTCAACCCCCAGAAGGTCAGATACACCAGGCTCGTCCTGTCAACTACTGTTTAATATTTCAGTAACCAGGCATTTCCAAATAAACTTTGGTCGGGTATGTTTTACCAAGTTACTGTAATTGTTGATATTAGACCATAAAAGCTTGATACCATTTGTATTATCTCTAAGTCTCATCCTTTCTGTACCTTAAATAACCAACTCAGACCTTTATCATGTCCATAAGCTTTCTAGTTTTCTTTTCCATTCTGGAAGCTTCCATCACCTTAATCCTCACATAGAAATTCTCATTTATTCAATTAATCATTATTCCAGTTTAGCATTTATAAATCTGAGTGCCATGAGACATAAGAGCATTAACAAATGAATTTACTATCTGTTGTGAGAATTTTCTGCTCCAGGGAGAGGTACTGAGCAGTGTCTATCCTCTCTTCATGGGGTCCCAGTGTCAAGCCAAAGTTCAATTTCAGAGTTCACCCTGGAACCAATAAGTGCACTGGGCTTAGTTACAGAGAATTATAGGGGTTCCTGATGAGTGTGTGGGTGAGCCCAAACAGTCACACTGGAGGTCTCTGCTCAGTATGTGTGAAGACATTTTACAGTCACATCAATGGGGCTCCAGTGTTTAGCTTTTGTTGTTTGTTTGTCTGTTTATATAAAATTGGCCAAGATGACCAGTCCATCTGCCCCTTTTTGAAGGAATACCACATTAAACTGTCTGGCAGAGATCATTTCAGGCAGGCACAGGTAGAGGTGTGAAGATGGCAGGTGTTTAGAAGCCCCTGTATTGGAGCTTGAAAACCCCAGTTATTCTTTTGTTTCTGTTTAAAGTAGCTGTAGTGGGTTAAGAAAAAAACTCAAAAATATTCTTTAAATGTCTGTTTTTCTATTCACAGTCGTTTCCATATAAAACATATTGAAAGGCACAGGCATAAGTTACCGTTATCTACGGGGAAGGCGATTGTTCAATAGGAGAAACCTATCCTGGGTGAGGAGTAGTCAGCCATCTCCTACGGCCCCTAAGCTGTAGGGACCATGTTGTAGAACCAGAATTGGGACAAGGACTGGCAAGATGACATTCTGACCAGACTTGTGTGATTATGTGTATTGTGTCCTTAAAGCATTTATATTTTATCATTTTCAATGTAAACATTCATGTAAATAGTTCCCAAGAAAGATTCAGGACCATTAGCCACCGCTATTTATTGTCACTTTTTTTTTAATTTTAGCTTTATTATGAAAATAGAGTTGGGCAAAGTTAGTTTACATGAGCATTTGCTTACAAGTGAATTTGGGCCGAGCATGGTGGTGCAAACCTGTAATCCCAGCAGTAGGAGAGGCCGAGGCAGGTGGGTCTTTGTGAGTTCAAGATCAGCCTGTCCTACTAAGGGAGTTCAGGACAGCCATGGCTACACAGAGAAACCATGTCTCAAAAAACCCAAAATAAATAAATAAATAAATAAATAAATAAATAAATAAACAAATAAATAAATAAATAAATAGATAAATAGGATGGAGGAGGAGGTGGAGAAGAAGAAAAAGAAGAAGAAGAATTGAATTTGGTACTGATTCCATAATGTAAAAAAAAAAAAAAAACATAATTGCATAATAGTCTATATATTGATAATCATACATACGGTGTATTTAATAAACTGAGAATTTGGACATTTTTGTTTGTTCATACTATTTTTTTAAAATCATCCTCATTGTGAAAGAGAATTTTAAAAGTAAACGTTGTTCAATTGGCCGAGGCACAAAGAGCACACAAGTAGAACAAAGGATCATTGGGCAGAACATGTACCTCAGTTAGAAGAAAAGGGACCAGGCAGAAGCAGCAACTCAGAAGTCACAGAGCTGCTGAGGCTGTTCCCCACGTAGCAGCCATTGTCATTTACCCCGTGGGTCTCTCTTGGGACCTGTGACACAAAACAGCACTTGGCTAAGGGAGTTCTGCCTGCTTGCTGCCTGGAGATAAGTAGTATTCAAAACTGTGACAAAGAAAATTTGTACCGTAATTGAAGTTTAGGTGTGCTGAGGAAGTTTCTGCTAATGCCTATTCGCCAAGTTGGCCTCCATTTCCATAACAAAAGGACTTGCAACTGGCCACTAGGAGCATGGCCATATCAAAGAACTTGCCTCTAAGGGGCAGCTCAAGGGGGCAGCACCAGGTCACAGCCACTGGCCTGCCATTAAGTCCCCTGTGCTCTTTACAGGTGCTCTTGCCGGGTGAGCAAGATGACCCTGGGTAACAACTATTGCAACACTGTTGTACTTAGATAATTCTGGCAGTGGTTTTGCTGGGTGACTCTCCCATCTGCCCGAGACTTGAAGTCTCTCGTCTCTGTCTAAACTGTTCAAAGTGTAACCTGGGGGCTGGAACCTGAAGGACCTTTAAGAATGACAGCATGTGTGGACCATCCAAGCCTAAGTCAGTGACATATTCTGTTCATGGCTGGCTCCTCTTTGAGCAGGAGCCAGGACTGGGCATGCGCTATTATTAAAATCTGCCCCTCCTTCTTTATTATTGTCGGTCTTGGTCAGGGCTCCTATCGCTGTGATGAACGCCATGGCCAAAAGCATGTTGGGGAAGGAAGGGTTTATTCGGCTTACACTTCCACATCACCGTTCATCACTGAAGGAAGTCAGGGCAGGAACTCAGACACAGCAGGAACCTGGAAGCAGGAGCTGGTGCAGAGGCCATGGAGGGGTGCTGCTTACTGGCTTGCTCCCTGCTTGCTCAGCCCGCTTTCTAATAGAACCCAGGACGGCCAGCCCAGGGATGGCCCCGCCCACAACAGGCTGCCCTAGTCAATCATTAGTTAAGATGCCCTACAGGCTTGCCTACAGCTGCATCTTCTAGGGGAATTTTAAAAATGGAGGCGCCTTCCTCTCTGATGACTCTAGCTTGTGTCATATAACTACACTATGACTGTGCAGCACAATATCTGAGCACCCAGATTAGTTTCTCACATGAAGGCATATTAATTCTGCAGCAGTAAAGTGAGTCCTTCCTCCATCCAGGCACAAGACCCTGTGGGGTCCTCGCATGTCACAGATCAAATATAGATTGTTACAACATTTTTTAAAAGACAATCCAGTAAGCTCAGTATGTTTGTCTAGGTAGGTTGTCCATGGACTTACAGAATCCCTTATTCAAGGTCCTGAGTTCAATTCCCAGCAATCACACCATGGCTCACAAACATCTACAGTGAGATCTGGTGCCCTTTTCTGGTGTGCAGTGAGAACACTGTATAAATAATAAATAAATCTTCAAAAAAGAAAAAATCTGGTCACACACACAGTATCTGGTTACAGAATCCCTTATCCACCATCACTGGGTTCCACACAGTTTTGTTTCCCATCAAAGAATTCACTTCACAGCCAGAGAAGTGCTTTAGTGAGCTCACGATCGTGGAATCCACTGGTCCCAGGTACCATGTTCACCAACCTAAAGCACATAGCCTGACAGGAAGATGCAGTGTCCTCTTGAAGACACCGTTACAGAGCCAATTAGGTGGCAGAAGCCTGGAGGGCTGGGGCAGGGTTGGTTCTCCAGGGGGTGGAGAACCTTTGAATCGGTGTCCATACACGGCGTGGTTTCTCCCATAATCAGGATCCATGGGTCCAGGAATCAAGAGGTGGAAAGGGGAATAGTTTCACTCACTGTCTCCCACCCACCCACCCAGTGACCCACTAGGAAAAGTTCTGCTTCCTGTTCCCATGACCTTTTTATTCCGGAGTGGGGAGTGCTCCTGTCAGGAGCCACACAAACATTCCATTGAACTGGAGGCTCAGGCAGATTCCCCATGGCCACTTTGGGTTTTGGATGCCCTTAAACCAACAGGCTAAGAAAGGAATAACAGGTTTGGGAGGGCTGGCTGGTTCGGATGACCGAGGGGAAATTGAGTTGCTTCTCCGAAATGGAGGTTAAAGAGATTGTGTCTGGAGTGCAGGAGAGCCTTCAGGGCATCTCCTAGTGCTGCCATGCTCCGTGATTATGGAAAACTACAACAGCCTAATCCAGGCAGGGTGATGAGGGGCACAGACCCATCTGGAGTGATGGCCTGGGTCACTCCTCCTGGAAAAGAGCCAAGACCCACTTGCAGAGGGTGAAGGAAATACAGAGTGTGTAGTAGAGGAAGGCAGAGACAAATACCAGCTAAGGCCATGTGGTAGGTTACAGAAAGAAGGATCATAGTTGACATGAGTTTTCCTGTTGTATTTTGTTAGGAGTCTATCTGCACCGATATTGGTGTTTTTCTTTCAATTTCTTTGTCATGAGAGGTACCATCAATTAAGAGAACATCAGTGGTTATCATTTTTAAGCTTGAGACACTAAAAGAGTGCCCCTCAAGGGACATGTCACCTCTTCTAAATTCACACTGTGTCTGCAGTTGCACGAAAGATAGCTATATCATGTCAGGTGTTAAGTGTGACCTGGTTGAATACACGATGCATTTGCAATTGTATGCGGGATGGCTATGTGAAGGCAATGTTATGACCTGGGTGTTGCTTTGTTTAAGGAGATACGTTTGTGTGTCAAGTTGACAGGGGGTGGCCTTGTAATGGCCATCCTTGGTTGTCACCTTGACCACATCCGGAATAAACTAGAATTTAAAAGTGGAGGGCACACTAATGAAGTAGGAGGATCCACTTCTAATTCGGATCTAGAGGTGGGAAGATTTGTGACTTTAGGCCTTGAGGAAGGAAGACACCTTTAATCTGGGCCACACTGTCTGCTGGCAGTCTATGCAAGGACATTGAAAGGGGAAGCCTTTGCTCTTTGTCTCCTCACCCTTGCCTAGCTAGCTCATCCATTGCTTCACTGGCATTAAAGCCTGCCTCTTTGGGATTCCAGCATCTGTGGAAGGCCAGATGAGATATTCAGGCTTGAGAACTGAGGAACTTCTAGGTTCTTGGACTCTCCATACATAGCCAGCCTTTGTGGATTACTTGGAGCACAGACTGAAGTCATTCTAATAAATCTTTTTGTGGGTTATATATTCATTCCATAAGTTCTTCTACTCTAGTGAACCCTGACTAATACAGGAGAGTTCCCAACCTTGGCCAGAAGATCAAAGTTGAAGACAGGGCTTGGAAACCCAAAGTGTCTATCATCAAGCCCTGCTACTTCCCTTGCCAGGATGGATGGTAAGTCAGAACCAACATGGCGTCCCACAGGAAGAGCAGGGAGAGCAGGCCCAGCACCATGCCTGGGCCAAAGGGCTCCGGGGTAGGTCCAGTCTGGAGCAAACAGGATGCACAACCGTCAAACATTGTGACACGACAGTGTCAACTGTGGACATCTTTCTCCCTCTGACAGATGATCCTGCATCACTGCTGTCATGAAAACCTGATCCTGCCACCATCTGGCTCCTCTCCTAGGCTGCTCATTGCTCATTCCTGTACACTGCTGTACCACCACGGCGCTTATCATTGGGAAGGCTCTCAAAGTTCACACGAGCGGTCATTCCATCATGGAGAAGTGGTATGTGGCCATGGACTTGCTTTAGCATGGGGTACATGAGAGCAGACATCATGGGTCCACAGCTTGGCAGGAGACAGTGGGGACCCCGGAAATTGTTACTGGCGACACCACAGACAGCCATGTTTCAAAGGCACATGCGTCAAAAATTCCATGCACTTTTGATTTTCCCTGCACTTCCTGGAACCCCAGCCTGCATGTTGCAGCTGCAGTGCAACTTGAGTGTGCTGGCCACATTCCCATTGCTCCATGTCCCTGGGGACAGCTTCTGTGTCAGAAGAGGGAAGTCTAGAATCCTTGGGGTGAGCCAAGGATGCCCGTCACCGTTTCATGTATGAAAGCTCTGGAAGGATCTCAAGCTATGCTACAATCAAAACTGTAGCAGTTTGGTTCTGCTCTGCCCACTGCTGAGTCCTCGGGGCCTGGATCATGTAGAGCATTAATAAGTGCTCAATAGATGCATCTAGTTGAATCATGA